TATGATTTTCTAGAATGCTCAGAGAAATGTCTAGCAGCAACTTTAAATCTTGCACATTGAGGTAATCTGAATAAATATAGGACCAGAGGAACCATTCTGGATTTTAGCAACAAAATATTTTGAAGATAAGGTCACCGAGAACTAAAGCCAGCAGTGCTGTAGTAAGAGAAACAACATCCAATGTGCCAAAAACAAAAAAAACCATGTCTTGCAGATGACAGAAACTGGGTTAACTGTTAAGTGCTGAATATGAACTACAAAGTGACAGTATTGTGTATTATTTATCACAGAACAAAGCAAGTCAATGATGAACTATATGGCATGACTGCAACATGAAGCTTTCACATCTCCAGAATCAAATGGAAGGAAAATTATTTGTTGGATCTTTGTACTGCAAAATGATCTTCTTAACAGGTCATAAGTGCTTTCTAATGCAGAAAAAAATAAGTTTTATTCAATAAAATAAGTGAGTCAAATCAGATGTGCAATATTAGAATTAAGTGATGCACTTAAACACAACTACAAAACTTTGTAAGAGATTATGTTTTTCAGTTTCCTCACACATCTCCAAATTTCCCACCTCCTACCTGCAGTCTACCATATTGCTGATTACTTATATATGAATTATCCAAAGAAAGGTGAAAGCTTACTTCACATCTTTCCCCTCACCCTTCAGTCACACACACACACACACACACACACACACACACACACACACACACACCTCACAGTAAATATGCTCAACACATACAAATGAGCGGAATATCACAGAGTCCAAGAGCATGCAAAGTAGAGCCTTTGAATCCAAGCTCCACCATTTACAGTGTAACCTTCAGTTGTTCCTTAACAAGCTCTCTGGACCTTAAACTCTTTACCTAAAAAAGTGGCAGTAATACCTACTTCATAGGATTCTGCAAGGAACTGAATGAGGTAATACAATGACTGTCTTAGTATAGAAGTTTTAGCTGTGATTACAAGCACAATCAGAAGAAGTTTATAGTATAGTCTAATGTTAAATTCAAACAGATTTTGGAATTGTTACCTGAGTTCACTCATCTAGGTTACAAGTATTCATTGATGTCCTTTTACATACAAAGTACTATAGTAAAGATTCAAGACACAGCAATAGACAAGACAATAAACTCTTTCCTGCCCTTGTGAGCTAAGACCACTACTTAGATTCATTGGTCAATGGTGTAGCCAAATAAAAAACTTAAAAGACTCTTGTGCAGTTAATGAATATCAACTTGGCCTAAAAACAAAAACAAGGCACCAGAACACAATATCCTCTCTTACCTGGGTTTGGTCTCCATTTCAACCTTAGCCCTATCTATAACAGGTACTCAAAAAATGATTTTTTAAATTGATTTGGTCCAGAATCTGCGGCTGCAAAATCATTCTATGAATATGGAGAGGAAGGAAATACCAGAGGAGATTCTCCTTAAAAGCACCCTCAGGGTGGTATTTCACACTAGGGCTAGGGGCCAAGGGTAAGGGAGAGGCACGCGGTTTAGATCCTTTAGGAGTTCATTCTAGAGAGGAAGGCAGGTAATTGGGAAAGCCCCCATCCCCTACCCCAGTAATCTGGGCCCTTTCTTGCTTTTGTCACCATATTCCTGCCAACTTCTCCTTCGAATCCCAGTTTGGCCATTTACTAGTGTGTGACTCTGATTCAGAGTTTTAACATTATTTATAACAACAGCTTACTTATACTTATTATAAAAGCTATGTATGTTATTTATCCTACAAATCACAGTAGCATTGTTCTAATTTATATTAATTATAATAAATACTTGTGCTGTTTATAGGGTTTTGATAATTTACATCAATGAAATCCCAGAAATAACCACTCATTTATGAATCTCAAAAGAAAATGGAAGCAACAGGGCTGGGGGTGTAGCTCAGTGGTAGGGCACTTGCCAAAATGCCTAGCATGCACAAGGCTCTGGGTTCCAACCCCAGCATCACGAAGAGAGGGAGGGAGAACAGGCAAGGATAAAAGTTAATAGTGGCTTTTAAAAGAGAGTTAAAAGCAGGGATCTGGTTGGAAGGCAGTTTTGAAGGCTGCACGTGCACAATACCTTAGATAAGAGAGACAATATACAATGGTCCATTTCAAAACAAGGTAAGAGCTGAAGCTAGAAAGGCAAGTCCAGAGAGCAGAAGAGGGGAAAGCAGTGAAACAAAATCCCAAAGAATTCTATATAACTTAGTATAATTCAAGTAAAATTGAAATAATTAATTTCCTTCTTTGACTTTTATTGAAGTATGTAATTTCAAAATCTGCACCCACTCCTGAAAACCCATTTTAAAAAAACAATAGGGTTGCCAAGAAGAAATGGTTCGACTATGTGTTCTCTAAGGAAAAAGAGCTCCAAGTTGGAGTAAGGAGTTAAAAACAGAAGAAATAGAAAACAAGAAAACTGTTATGGGAATGGGGATTTGAAATGAAGGTGGGGTGAGAATATGAAAGAAAAAAACAAACAAACATGTTCATCATTTTTACAATATTAACATAGAAATAGCCCCACTTACCTGTCAGGAAGTTCAGGAAAAATGGTGGAGAAACTCTAACACAGCTGAAAATGAAAAGAAGAAAAGAACAGAGCCAATTAGACTAATGGAAAGTGGGCTTTCTTGGCACCTAAAAGCTTCAATATTATGTTTTGCCCAGCAGCCAAGACCTTCTGGGCCTTTTGCTGCACAAGGAGCTTTGAATCTGGCCACAAAGTTACACAAGAAATGGACAGTGCAGAACCTGCTTTTAAGGAATTTAGTATAAACCTGAAGAACAAGCCGAAAGCCAGTTTGGGGGCTGATCTTGTTAATGTTTTAGTAGCATGCATTATTGTTCAATCTAAGGCTTTGTTATAGGAGCACTGGAAGGAAGAGATTAGAGTGCATCTGGGGTGGGTTGAGCCCTTCTAGAAACTATGATTAGTTAAGTATCTCTTCATGTATTTGTGTAATAAATAACTCTGTTGATTATTAAATTTGGCTCTGAGTTGTAAAGGAAGGCAATGGCACAAGTGAGGGACAGACCAGATGCATCATGGGGAAAGGAAATAGGGTACCCACCCAAGGTAGGGAGCACTGCTGACAACCTGATTTTTATCTTTTAGAATATTCCATCATGCTTAACTTCAAAAATCAAAACACTGGTACAGCTATTAGCTCAAAGATGACAGACAGTCACTTCATAGAATGGTATCTTGTCATGTGAAACAGAGATATAATGAATTTCAAATCAAGATTTATGAGAGGAAATGACCTATAGTATCATCTTGGAATCAAGTGACTTCTGGCAGCAGTCAACAGACTGTTTCCAGGTTCAAGCAGGAATCAAGAGAAGAAATAAGGAGTCACGGTGAGTCTCTATCGCAATATATTCTTTCTTTAAAAGCAAAACAAAAAGTACTTCTTAATAAGTTAAAAGGCAAGTGACCGGAAAACCTTCATTAAGCAATGTTAAAGAAGACAAAAAATGAAGGCCAACCATGTTGCCCTGTCCTAAAATAAATTACAACCCAGTGCTCAACATAGAATGGATGTAGAATTATCAACCAAGAAACATTAAAATAATCCAACAAAAAATCAAGTTGATTGTGACTTCAGTATAGGAATAAATTCATTGAACATTTGTGAAGATGAACATTTTCTACATAGGGATTTCTGGTAGTGTTTTTTGTTTGTTTGTTTGTTTGTTTTGGGGTTTTTTTTTTTTTTTTTGGTACCAGGGATCGAACTCGGGTCCTTACGCTTGCAAGGCAGGCCACCGAACTGCTGAGCTAAATCCCCGGCTCTGGTAGTGTTTTTGATAAAATTTCACAATTCCAGAACACTGCTTCTTCTAAAACCTTACTGGTGACAATAAAGCACACTTAATGGTTCCTCGTAATCCAGTTTATTAACAAATAGCAGGAAACTCCTTTGGAACACTTTCAGGTAGGATAGTAGGGCAAGCAACAATGACATCTCTTTTTCCCAGTGAATGAAAAATATTAAAAAGCCCCAAAATAATATCAAAGATGGAGAGCATGTGGGGAAATAAACACTTGCATACACCATTGGTGGAAATGTAAACTTTGAGATTTTGAAATTTTAAGTGGAAATAGCTTTTTAAAAAAATCACTTTAACATATTATTTTTACATGTACAGAAATTCTAATTCCAGAGATTTTCAATACAGAAATACTGACACATATTCATAAAAATAAAATCATAAACACTGTCATTACAGCTTTGTGTGAGGTGAAAGGGGAAAGCCTAAATGTCCATCAATAGATGAATAAATGACAGTACAGCTACATTATGGAATGCTACTCAGTGCCTTAAAAATAAAATTGATTTAGATGTAATGACAAAGACTGTTAATGCATATAAATTAAGTGAAAAAAGCAAGTTTTAAAATATAATAATTGTTATGGTTTAGATGAAGAATGACCCCCCAAAACTCCCATGTGTTCAGAGGCAGGGCTTTTGGCAGATAAATGAAAACCAGGGTGCTATAGCTGAATGTGATTTTAGGAGGTGGTGCCTGGCCAGAAAATGTGGGTCACTGGGGCATGATCTGGAAGGTTACATCTCCCTCCTTGGCTCCTTCCTTCTTTCTCTGCATCCCAGCTAACGTGATGTGAGCAGCTTGTCCTCCACTACAGCCCTCTGCCATGCTATTTGTGCCCTGGAGCCAGAGGAACATAGACTGTAACTGTGAGCCAAAATGAGAACATGACTAAGACAATAATATATAACAGGACATGTTAAGAATCAATCAACACTATATATACGTGGTTTATTTATAAAGATGTGGATCAATACACACACACAAAAAGCCCACCAAGCCTTCACAGATAGGAATGTGATGGAGGAAGCTAAATTTTTACTCTGTAGAATATGGCTTTGTATTCATGTATTACTTATATAAATAAGTACATTTCTTCTAGCAAAGAAAAGCAGGACAGAAATTCTGATTTGAATTGGCCCTTCAAACAGAATTCTTAAATCAGGTGCAGGGACTGGTTAAGAGGGAATGCTGTCTCTTGCTCAGCCCAATGTCATATCCCCTTTCCCAGCTCTAAATCAATTAGAAAGGCCCAACTGAAGGTACAAATATTTCTGGTCTCAGAGCCAAGAAACTGCTCAGTCAGGCCACAGGAATTCACTTCAGTAATTTATGGAAAAGAACATCAAAAGCAATGATGTGACCATGTGTGGTGGACACTGAGACCTAAACTTAACTAATGACTTGCCCATCCTTCAGTCTGAGGATCCTGCCTTATCCAATCCAATCCGCACAGCCCCCACCAGCCTTTATCTCTCAGGGAAACTAAACAGGAAGGAGGATCCCATCAGCACCAGCACTTCAGTAACAAAACATAGCAGTTGCCAATGTTTGGGATTCTTACATCATTGAAAGGAAAAGGGCAAGTCAAAAAAGGAATCCTATCAACTTATGTAAGACATGGCACAGAAAACAGAAGTTTCTCAGAGAAGAACAGCAAACTCACCAGTTGGTAGGATTTACTGAAACCTCCCACAGTTGTAGAGTATCCCAAACCATGACATCAGGGAGGCTGGGAACACATCCAACTTCCTCTGTTTATCAAGCTGGTGAAAACCCAGGGTAATATCAGTGTGACAAAAAAAAGGCAAGCTGAATTTATAAATGGTTTGGGTGGAAAGAAAATTATCTCTGGGCACACTTAGAGTCCTGTTCCAGTGCAGAGGAAGCTTTCAAAGAGGCTGCATCCAGGAATAAGACCTCCTCTGGTCCTGGGCAGCTGGGCCTAGGACCACACATCAAGAGTAATCAGTAACCTAATGGGGAAGTGCACAGGTAACAATATCCCTAGGCTATTGTCCTACTGCTCTCTGGTATAATGTGATATTACTCCAAGGACTAACCAAAAAACCAGACCAAACCAAAGCATCACTATAATAGCCTAGAGGGCTCAGCACTTGATTTCAAACCTAATGACTTAGTGACTGATTCAGAGGGGCAGAGAGAGAGAAAGAGAGAGTGATTCATAATTTCTGTCAATGACACCAACCCTATGAAAGAAAGGATGAGAGGACAAAGAGGCTCTGATAAATTAGGAAGTGCGCTAAAAATAGGCAAAGAGGCAGACCGGTGAGGACTTCCCAGCTAATGCAGGGGAGCTAGGCTGCTTCCCCACCCCCCAGCACCCCTAGCCTTCGTCAGAGCAGACCAGTGAGGACTGCCCAGCTACACAGGTGCCCCTGCAGCATCCCCCACCCCATGCTCTTGGGCCTGATAGTTGTGCCGGAACCTGGATTCACACTGCAGAGGCACAGGTGGTCATAAAGGTCATTGTACTGAGCTCCAGAAGATAGAATGGAAGTGAACAACTGCAATAAAGGCAAATTAGAACTTCCATCAGAACCTGGACTATCTTCAGGGGAAGTGCAGCTGGAACCTGCCATACAACCTTACAGAGTTTAACCCTGCAAGAGGTCAGGGAGCTCAACTTGGGCCTTGCAGCCAGAATTCAGCGTGAATCTCAGGGGTCTGCTGTTGGCTTGCTGAGACTAATTGACTTAGATCTGCACATTGCTGCCCACATTGTCTATTGTGACAGCAGAGATATACCCTTAAGGAGGCCCTTCAATTTTTTTTCTTTCTTTTTCATTTATTTTTAATTTTTATTTTTAAAATTTTATTTTTCCCACCCTTCTAATTAATCCTTTTTTCTTTCTTCTTTTGCCCAATCTCTTGCTTGCCCACATTGTTCTTCATCTCCCTTTTTGTTCCTGTTCCTATCCTAATTTGGATTTCTTCTTTTTCCATCACTTGATTGTCATTAGTTTCAAAGAAAAGTGAGTACAACTTATAGCTTCCCTATTACTGTTAAATTGTTCCATTCTTGTCTTTGTTCTTGCACTCTGTCTTTCTCTCTTGTCTTCAACAGTTTCCTAGTATTTGCATGGTCATCCTGTATCCTCTGGGTTCACCTGAAACCTTCTATCCTTCTATCTATCAATTCCTCTCCTCCCAACTTCTTCTAAGTCCCCATCCTGAAGGGTAAAGTTGCTATATTGGAGAGTTTATTCACTATAAACATAGTTTGGGCTGGTCCTCAATTTTGATTTAATGCACATAGTTAAAGGAGATAGATTAATAACTACCACAAATTGTAAATTTCTCAGCTGTGCTTGATGCTATTGTGGTGCTGATTGTATCAACTGGGCTAAAGGGTTGTGATTGATTTAATCAGTTATTCTTCCGATATTACGAAAATAAAAGTGTCTCTGAGTCATTAGAGACTCAAAACCTAAAGAGCAGCTATATCAGAAAGATTGAAGTACTAACTCAGGAATTAAACCAAGGACAGTACCAACAATAAAAATAAAAATGAAAAAACACTTAAGGAAGGCACAAATACAGACTTCCAGTTCACCAATGGTAAATTCCAGAGGAAATAAGGTGGGAAAACATTAACAAACAACCACCAGGACACCCGGAATTCACAGCACAGGAAGTAACAATACAGATCAATCAGGCTCTAGAAAAATTCAAAACAGAAATAATTTCCCAGATAACTACAGAGATAGTGAGCACAAT